GGCAAAGCATATGTGTGGCAGCAGAGTGTAAAAATTTCAATCAATAACCGTAACGATAACATTGTCGGCAGAAGCACAGCACTCCACGTTCCACGTTCTCCAGACTGGAGATGAACGAAATAGACTCAAAGTATATGAATGCTGGTCACTCTTTTCTGGGAGGCTAGCATTAAATATCAAGAAATTAATAAATAAATAAAAGCAACAAACATAAACACAGTTACAAATTCTATAACCCATGGAACGTAAGCCAAACCACACAAATTTAAGAGCTGGAAGCTTTTGCACTTTAATGGGAATTTATATGACGTTTGTATATTTATTTATTTTATTTATATGCATGTATAATGTACATATAATTCCAATTATATACAAGCAAAGATTGAAGACAAAAAAAAAACTCTTCTATGCCCATTTATGAGTTATTTCCCCATCATACCCAGCCTCTCCCCATAATCATCATACCCCCCGTACCCTGGAAACATCTCCTAAACAGAGTTCGTGCAACTCTTTTTGGCGTACATTTGCAATAAATTTTGCCGCCTGTTGACAAGCCGCAAAGTATCCTTTAAACTGGCTAAGCCCGTGCCTCCCTTCCTTTGCCGTGCATCCTGCCGCAGGAGTAGGAGATTCTCCATTTGGGCTGGAGGCAGGGAACTCCAGCCTGGCAAACGCGATTTTTATCGCAATTCAATAGAGTTTCCGTTACATTACGCTCCTCCAATGTCCTCCGTGCTGGGTCCCATACTCTCCTGCTTCTGGTCCTGGCTCTGGTTCTGGTTCTGGTCCCTTTGTCTAGCTGCGGAACTAACAGCGCCACATTTTGTATCCGTGCGACGTGTCAACGTGTATTGCTTCCGTTCCCCCTGCTCCGCCCAGTTTCTCCTTTCTCTTGCTTCATTCTCTTCCTGTTTCTATGTGTGTGTGTGTGTTATTGCCTCTCGTTTGTGCACCTTGTGGCACGGAGACAAGAATGTTATTGAAATTTTATGTTGTCTGCGATTTCTTTTCGCTTCTCGCTGGATTTACATTTTCCTGGCAGCTGATTTATGGCCCGACGTGTGCTCCTTGGGGGAAGGATGAGCAGATGGTGGAGGGGGTGGGTAGTACCTGCTCCTCAAAGGATGCTCCCATAATTAGCCAGCCACAGATAATCCTCCCATCCCATCCCATCCCACTCCCCTCCACACCCAATCAGCAATGGAAAAGGGGTTGGCTTTTGGAAAAACTTTGTGCCTTTTACTTTTATTTTTGTTTCAGCTTTTAGCTTCCGCGGAAATTGAATTACGGCCTTTGCTCCGCTCTCTGAAATGTCAATCTTTGAGGGACAGAGACAGCGACAGGATGAGAGTGAGAGGGGGGGGTGGGAGTGGAAGAGGTTTGTGCTCTGCTCCAGAAGTCACCTTTGAGTGGAGGATTCCTCTCATTAGGATTCCGTTTCTGGCTGCTTCGCTGGTGTTTACCTTGAAATTAAAAATGCGAAAGGAGATTCCTTGAAGATGCCTTCGCTTGAGGGAACCATCTCAACCAGAAGCATCCTTTGCATCAGAGGCAGCTTCGAGTGAATTATTTATGGCACTGGCTCCATCCTCGGGGCCCCGCCGAAAGACAAAGGGGGGAGCGGCAGAGACGGGCAACGGAGAGAAACAGAAACAGATTACAAGATTAAATTATTGTAACAAGGGCATTACGCAACTACTTTGCATAATTTACCGCAAAAAAAAAGAGTCATGGGCCAAGGGGCAAAGGGGCACAGAAATAAAAAAAAAACATTCATCTTTGCAGCAACGGAAATCCCAAGGACTTCTTAAGAGTAGACAAAAATATATACAAAATAAAATAAAATAAAATACTAGGTGGGACTTTCTGTTCTCCTTCTCCTGCTCCTGTGAGTAGGTGACAGTCGAGTGTCGAGGACCTTCCTGTAGGTCTCGCGAGGCGTATACGTAACGTTTCAGTGTTTACAACAATTTGTCACTTTTTTTGGTAACCTGCTGCCTGCCTGCTTCTCAAGGATCTGCTGCCAAAAGCCAGAAAGGGGGAATTGCAATCCAGACGCCATTGCCACTGCCACTGCCACAGCCACAGGAATGCCTAATTTGCATTTTAATTTAATTTTTTCCATACCGCGAAATGTCAACAGACAGGGGACTCTCAAGACACAGGACACACAGGACTCCAAGGCTCGAGTCACTTGCAGACATCTACTTCGAATCAGTCCCAGACGGTGGCTGCGGCTGCCGCCCCCCCGTCAAAGGAAAAGGAGTTCGGTTTTTGTTTGTCTTTCGGTCTTTTTCTTGGCGCACTTTTTAATTGAGCCCCGCATATGCATGAGGCACGAAGGCACGAGGCCGTGGCGCAACTCAATTAAAGCGATTGCCGTCGCGTCACTTTGAACTTCAACCTCCACTTCAACTGGAGCCAAGTCCTGCCTCAAGTCTCAAGGAAAAATCTGATCTGCGCAAAAATCAATGCCATCGATTGTCCCGCCCATAAAAACGGTGGATACTTGTAGTACCATGAAATTATTTGCATCATAAAATGTTCCAGAGAGAGGAAATGAAGAAAGGGGGGGTAAAATGTATCCTGCAGCTGCGATAATCCGATGCATTGCATGGCTGGGACTCACTGAGGGCATACAAGATTCCAAAGTCAATCAGAGTTGTCCACTTACCACAAGAAATCGTTTGACTTCTCGTTTCATATAGATTTAGTGACAATCCTTTTTGCATATTTCTGTAGCTATCCTCATTTGTCCTGTCTGCATTTTTAAATTTTAAAAATTTCGAATTAATTTTTTTAATTAGATTTTAATGGCTATCAATTATTACGAATAATACCACTTTGCTAATCTATTAAACATTTTTAAGTGAAAATAATAAATAAATACAAAATAAAGTAAGAAGCATAATTGAAGTCTTATGTTAAAATGAGAAATTAAAAATTATTGCCACATTTAGTTTTCAATGGGCTATGAATTTTGAATATATCTGGGCACTATTTTGGACAAGGTTTCGCCGCCCTTAGTTCTAGTTCTGTGTAGCTGTCTAATACTCAAATCTGAAATACCTTTAATGGTGACGTGAACATGAGAATGACAAAAATCTACCAACAGATGGGCAACCTCTTTCCTCTGTATCGTATAAAATATTCGAGACGTCATCGAAGCTCTAATGACTACCAACAAAAGTGAAAGCGTGTGGGAAAATATACTAATAAAATCTATAGATTTTAATCTTTAATAGATCTGTTGGGAATATTAATGAATACGCATTTTAGGTAAGTTTAAAGAATATTCTCCTTCAGTGTTTGTGATTGTGTCTGCTGCCTTCGGTTCCCTCGGATCCATTACCATTTGGAGCTTGTAAATTTTCGCAGAAATTGTCAGGTCCAGCCAATCGTGCAACCGTTATTACCTGTCCAGGGCTCCCTTTTGGCCCTCCCTGTTCTTCTGGCCTGCCTGTTCGCCTCTCCTTTTGCTGGTGGACACCGAAACGGACGTGTCGTGCCATTGCGGTTGCATTCCGTTTCCCGTCTGCGTTACGGCTCATAATTCTTTAAATTTATGAAGTGTAACCGGAGCAGAGCAGTGCAGAGTGTCTGCCTGTCGTCTGGCGGAACTCCACGAGACACAAGGGGTGTAGGTCTTTCAAGGGGTTAAGCTGTGCTTAGCTGGAGAACCCGAGCCAGAGCTACAGGGGGGAATCATCCTGGTCTATTCCTCCTCATTTCTGATTGAGTTCAGCCTCTTTTTTGGAGGCACATTCCTCCAGTATTCCTTTCCCCTCTTAGGGCCCATCTTCAGCCTCATTTTCAGCCACATCTTCCTGCCACATCTTGTGTCACGTGACGCCACTCACCTAATTTGAGAGCAGGCAGCACTTAATCCAATCCACGTAGCCAAGGAGGCACAATGGGGATAAATACCTTTGTGGCGGTTAACCACTCCCCACGCCCCACGCCCCTTGCCACCAACCCCTCCCGTGTTTTGTGTAATCCGTGGCACTTGGCACGCTCCCTAACTGCCACTTGAGGCAGATTGCTTGCTGCCACAGACTGTGGCACGAACTGAAGTTCTTCGTTTATTACCTGGCGAGAGGAGTTCCTTCCCATCCCCTCCCAGAAGGTCGCTTATCTCTTCAGATTGTTAATGTATTAATTTGAATTCTTTGTGAGAATGAGAGGCAGGAGCTGGGCAGGACTCGCTCCTTCTCCCTTTCCTCTTCCTTCCGGCCCACACAAAATATGTTTGACGGAGCAAATTTAGTGGAAAATTGTCGCATGTCATTGGGGCACGGCACGGCACGGCGCGGCAAATACGAGGATGCAAGTGAAAATGCTACGTGACTGCCATTGTAAAGGTCCTGTAAACCAAAAAAAAAAAAACAGGGAAAAACAGGGTACACACACGTAAGGAATTCCAGGGACAAATTGGCCAACTCCTGAAGGAAGTTCTTCCCCGTCAAGGAGTGGCCCCGGAAAATTTAAAAAACAAATCACACCTCCAAGGAGCAAGGAGGACCAGCCGCAAGACAAATTTCCGGGGCCAATGCCAAAAAACCTTTCCACACAGACGCAGGAAATGCACACAAAGGACACACCACACACATGGGAGTCCTGAAGTCCCGCCGGTAATGGAGTGGACTTTATTTGCGCTCCTTGTTTGCTGCTGGACATGCCTCGATGCTTCGAATGGTACATGCACACCCCTCCACGTACCGTACCACCTTTTGTGGCACGCTCCAGCGACAAACGAGGAACGACAAGCGGCGCATTTGTCAGCCACTGCATGAAGTAGAGTCCTTGCCCGTGCCCTCCCCCTGTGCTCCTGTGGGCAGCATTCGAGTCGGAATTCAAAGCAATCGAATCGAGGCAATCATTTCACGAATTTCAAATGTTTGTTGATGTTTATTGAAGCAACATTCCATTCCATTCCTCTCTACCTCTCCCTCTCCAATCCCCTTTCCTTTTTATTTCATTTCGTTTTCTTTCGTTTCGTTTTAGTTTTCAGCTCCACACCAGAATAAAAATTATACAAAAAATACACAAAAAAATATATTAAAATATTCCCCAAAAAAAAACACACACAAAAAGAAGAAGATGGAATACTGGCTGCGACTGGTCAACGATCAGGCGCAGAGACTGGTGACGCAGGAGGAGCAGCAGCAGCCGAAATTTATCTCCGTTTTCAGCCACAAAGGTTCCCCCATTCTGCCGCCCTTGGTAAGAGATCCTGAAACCCGCTACAAAAACCCATTCTGATTCAAACCATCCCCAGATGACGCCCCAGCGGCGGCGGGAGATGCAGCAACATCGAGCCACCGCCCTGGCCCTCGAGGAGTATCTAAAGATGAGGATCGGCGGCAGGCCCAAGGCTGCGCCTACCCCCCAGGCGAAGCTCGTGGAAAAACAAGAAGATCCACCTCTGATTGTGTTGGGACGCTTCCCGCAGCAGCTGCAGCGCTCCAAGACTTTGATCTACGACAATGGCCTCAATAGGCTCATCAAACCGCCCACACCGGATCCCCACACTTCAACCCCCTTAAAAGTGCTGATCGAGGACCCCCCTCTGATTGCTGTCCAGCGGGCAGCGGTGCAGTTATGTTCCCCGCTCTTCGCGAGGTCCAGCAAAAGCCTCGTCGCCCGTGCCACGCTCCCAGCGAAGCCCCTGATCCCTGCCCCCCTCAGACCCACGCCGAAGACGAGAGCCCAGGAACTGGAGGAGGCAAGGCAGGAGAAGGAGCGGAGGGAGCTGGAGAAGATGGAACGGGAGAAGCGGGAGCGGGAGAAAAGGGAGAACCTGCGGCTGGAGCACAGGCACACGATGAACCTCATCCAAGTGGCCAAGGCCCTGCCGTGGGATGTCCTCCAGATTGCACCGCTGCTGCGCTCCCACACGGATCCCAATCTCCAGCGGAAGCCACACAGCCAGCGGGACCACAACGAGGCCAGCCTGAGGCTGCACCCACAGCTGTGGAAGCGGCAGAATACCATCGTCTACAGCTGCCCCAATTCCCCGAAGAAAATCAACTATCCTCAACACAGAAAGCAGGAAAAGGAGACGCAGGAAGAGGCGAAGGAAGAGCCAAAAGAGAGGCCAAAGGAAGGACCAAAGGAAGAGCCAAAAAAGGAGCCCAAGCAGCGGTGGCAGAGCCTGGAGGGGAAGCCAGCCAAGGCCAAGGGCAGATTCTCTCTTTCGCCGAGACGCCGCGCCCTGCCCCACAATGTCTCGTGCTGCAGCTACTCCTTCACTCCCTCGATGGTCAGCGCCACGCAGCGTAGGCGCAGCTACGACCCGAAGGCCTCCCTCATGCGGGACGCTGAGCTGAGGGGAGCGGGAAAGCAGCCTTCCCAGAGCGGTACTCCGCAGCAGCAGTCCTCGTCCTCTTCCCACAGCAGGGCGAGGGGAGGGGAAACGCGTACGGTGTCCCCGCATCCTCCTTCGAATACCCCAGGAAAACATCATCCTACTTGACGATCGCCCAGGAGCAGGAGGAGCAGCGCCAGCGCTTCCTGGCACTCGTCTCCCAGCAGGCGGAGGAGCAGCAGCGCCTGCAGGCGCAGTTCGAGGCCCAGCAGCAGATCCTCATAGATCAGATGCTCTACGAAGTGAGGCAACTATCGAGCGATGCAGCGGAATCCATCGACTAATCCAGTCCGACAATCTATTCCTGTTCCCATTCCCATTCCCAATGTCCCTTCTACCTGTGCGGAGGAGCGGAGTGTAATAAAGCCATCAGACAGCATCAGACAGCGGCATAAATTCATCTAATCCGTTGCTAATCTCCCACGGCGGGAACGGGGCATGGGGCATGGTGGATGGTGGATCTCCTCCAAATTTAGCAGTGGGAGCATCTCTAATTGCGCCCAACGTCTGCCCTGCTCTGCTCTTGCCACACACACACACACGGAGCAGTCGCCGTGCCACCTGCCTTAACGTCTCACTCGCTGATGTCTCTATAGCGACGCGACGCCTCCCGTTGAATTTTCGCTTGCCTCCCTCCATCGTTTCACGCATTTCCCTCGTTTCACGCCCATAACTCGGGCTGCCTCTTATTAAGTGTAAGAAATTAAAATTTCATAAATTGTTATGCTTTATTTAGAGTACAGAGCGGAGCGTAGCGGTTCGGATCGGATCGTATACCCCGCCGATCCTCCCTCCCATCCACTAGCGGTGCGCTGCGTGTGGCAAGTGGCTCTTCGTGTGATTTGCTCGCTTCGGAAGCTGCTGGCGGCGGGCGATATTGAGACTTAAGTGGACACACGAGTAATTAAAAGCACTTAAGAGTCGCCAACGGAGACGGAGATTGCCTGCCTCGACAGATACAGCATAGAGCATAGATCTGTCTGCTGTGGATTATGCAGTGGGACACATTGGATGTTGGCCAAGTTTCCCAGCAATTGGCAAAGAGAGAGAGAGGGAGGGAGAGATCTCAGACGATGATGCTGTCGATTACTGACTGTTCCACGGGGGATCGGATCAGATCCTTCAGCATAAAATGACCTCAATTCATAGAAGAGCGATTAAATGGAGGGCGGGTATAGAAAGTTGCAAATTATGTGGCCTCATAGGGTATATCTCTGTAGTAAGTAAGATTTGTATATTGCAGAAGAAACTATCTGGGGAAATAAATCAATGAAATTAATTCGGAAATGGGTTTCATCTTCAGCCTTAGCCGATTTCCACTCCAAGAAGCGATTAAGGAGCTTCCCCCATTGGCCACTAGTGAAAATACTTCCAAATACTCGTATCTACTGTAAGCTTCAATTGCTGCTATTTAAGATGGCAGTGAATAGATCTGGGAAGGTTTTTCAGAGTTTTGTGCACCCAAACTCACCTCCAGCCTTTAAAGAACTTTCCAGAGAGCAGCAGGAGATGGGGGTGGGGATGGGGAGGGGGATTCCTCCATTCGAGTGTCGCAAATGAAGTTTGGAAATAGTTGCCGCGCCTAATCTCTTGTTTTTTCACTTGGCTAATCACACAAAAGAAGGAGCAGCAGCAGTCGCAGCAGCAGCAGACAAAAATGCCATGGAATGTGTCTACGAGTACGAGTATGAGTATATGAATATATGTTCATAATATTCGCGTCTCCACTCCACTCTTCAGCCACTGAAGGGAGGTAGGGGGGTACATGGCATGGGATGGGAGCCTTATTAAATGAAGTGCACACGAAACGGGCATTCGAACGGATTTCCATGACTAGAATAAACATAATCAGAGTAATAACTCCTAACCCTCTCCCCCTACTCCATCCACCCTCTTGCCCTCCTGCCGCTATCCTTCATTCCATGGAAAACATGTGAAATTAATCTTGTTTATGTTTGTGGGAGGAAAGGGAAAAGCGAGAGAAACGCCACAGAGAAGAGCAAGAAGAAAGTTTTCTTGCAAAGTTTTCTTCGGTTGGCGTTGCCTTTCTGCACACAAGTTTTCCTCTCGAACGAAAGAAGGAGCGAGGGATAGGGTGCAGAGAGGGGAAACAACTTTTTGGAGTGAAAATAAATAAAATCGAATGATTTCACTTTTGTTTTGGGGCACGTAAATAGTTTCTGCCACTTGGCGCTTGCCATCACGAGGGGAAAACCCACTCGAGTGATGAAAATGCGAAAATTTAATTAAAATATTTTTGCGAGACATTTAAAAGCGCCGTAAAACCGTTCAAAAATCACATTAGCATTTTAGGCGTTTAAAAACGCTGGAAAACCGATAGTTCGCAAGTCGCATAGGTAATAGTAGGCGTTAAAGAATTACCAAAAACCCCCCTATAAAATAAGTATTAAGAAAACGCTAAAGCGTTTTAAAACGCTAGAAAATCGCTCGCTTGAATATATGTAGATAAAGTAAATACTAAGCGTTTAAAAACGCCACTAAAACGCATGCTCATAAAACGCAAACGTATGTAAATGGGGTTTAGCGGCGGGGGAAGGTTGATTCGGGGGGGGGGGGCTGTTTGCCCTCATGTGGGTTTGTTGGGGTGGGGCTGTAGGTGTGTAGACAACCCACCCGCTGTATCCCCCCCCTCCCTTGTTTCGCTGTAGTTGTCGTGGAGCGGCGGCTGTGGCATAATCTGCAACATGCGAGTGCCGAGTGCGAGGAAAAGTGAAAAGTTCTGTCAACAACAAAAAATCGAAATCACGAGCGAGCGAGCGAGAAATTTGTTTGCCGTTTAAATTCGATTTTGATCCTATTTATCCAGTAAATTGCAGCAATTGAAAGGATTTGCACAGCCAACAACCGAAGGAGCAGCCAAGGAGGAGGCATCAGCATCGTCGTCCTGGCGTTGTTTGATTTTCAAATTACCTTTTTCATGGACCTGAAGGAAACTCCCCGAGAGTGAATGATGGCTGGGAATGGAATGGAATGATGTGTGATGTGCGGGAGGTTTGAGTATTTGTTAAAGCTTAACCATGGGATCTATCTAGCTTTAACAGATATATTCATGCCCCACCTTCTATCCTGTATCCCCCTGTGGGGTAGGACATTCATCGCCCCCCTGGAAGAGGCCAAAGACTTCCGAAAGACAGACGAGACGAGACCGAAAGATATTGAATTTCAATCGTAGCTGCAGCTGCATGAAATCACTTCCTGGCGACAAAGTACGACGACAAGAAATGGAAATCAGCAGTCAGGGATAACAAGGAACAAGGATATTCGGACCATGGAATCCAATCCAATGCCCAAGCGAAAGTGCGGGTCAAAGAAAATAAAACTTTATGCAAATGCCGCCACTTTGGCCGTAAAATGAAATAGTCCCCCCCCCCCCCCCCGCCAACCCACCGCTCACAGAATTATACCTTGATGTCTGATGAGGTCCTGGCCAATTGTCCTGTCCCATGAATTGAAACAAAGGGACTCCACTGCCCATCCTCGCCTCCCTTTTGTATAGTTTGGGAACCCTTGCAGGTGACTTTCACTTCAACTTGGGGCGAAAACTTTTCCATTTTCCAGCAAAGATAATTTTACCTACAATTCGCTTTGGGGAATTGAAACTTTTTCACTGCTTACTTACCTCCCCCTCCGCTTCTGCTGCTGATTCTGTATGTCGTGCGACAATGAAATGTCCAACGGTCTCCCGACTTCATTCCGGAAGTTGTTACGGACACGTTGTCCGCCGTTTGGCGCCGTACGCCCGATTGTCCCTTTGGCGGATGCAGATTTTTGGCCACTCGCTTGCCGTCGCCGCTGCCTCATTATTAATATTATTATTATAATGCTGCAGCTGCTCCTTCGTTTTGGGGCATGCACCACTTTTTGTGCACCGGAAACGGATGCTGTTATTAATTCACATATCCGTGTTGCGGGTGGTGTGTGGACAGCAGCAACAGCAGGGTCTGTCCAATCGTCAGGTATCCCTCCCTTTGGTTGCCTTTTCTGGCATTCCATTTGCCATTTCTTTTCCTTCTTTCGTTGGTTATTTCCTAATTAAATTTTCCCACTTTATTTTCTGCCACTCTCATTTCGCATTTCTTTTTTCCATCCTCCCATTGCCGTTGCTCCTGCTCCTGCTGTTGTCTTAATTGTGTTTGTACTACTCTATTTCATCCAGTCACACAGAAACACACACACACACACAGAATAACACTCGAAGCGACTCGAAGAGAAACCCATTTATGCCACACAGCAGCTTCCTCCTATCCCATCTTGGAGCAGTCGCCTCTGAGACTCTGAGGTGGTGCCGTGGCTCGGCTCTCTGTTTGCGCTAAAATAATTGAATTAATAATTGCTGCGTGTGGTTTTCATGCTTTTCCAGCTAAGGAAAACCCCCAGCAGCAAAGTGCTTAAGCTCCAAGCGAGTCGTGTGCAACTTTTATCTTCTGGCGCCCTGATCCTGCCACTCCTCCTGCTGCTGCTGCTGCTGCTGCTCCTTCAGGATGGGATGCCTTTACTTACTCACTGATTTAATAAATTAACGTTAATTAGCTGTTGTGGCCACGATGGCAGGCAGGCAGAAGGCCGGCACCAGGAGGGGGCAGGAGTGGCATGCCTCTCTTTGGGTTAGCTCAAAAGACAATAATGCCCCAGCGAAACTTTTTCTCCGTTGGAACGTGATTTCCGCGCTTCTGCCAAGATTTAGCTTCGACTTTCGATATGTGAATTATGAGGCAATGGGGCATGGGGCATGGGGCATGACGGTGTGCTATATGCCACAACCAAACCGAACCGATAATTCATAAATGTAAATGGATTTCCTTTCATTTACCAACCCCCTCCCCACTACCAATTAAGTGGACAGGGGGGGTGTTTGCTTATGCCATTTTAATTAGCGAAAATGAGTAGCCAAAGATGTCTGTGGGAAAATGGAATTAGTTTTATGAAGGAAGAACGAAGTTTTATGAAGGAAGAATCATCCAGGAAGAGAAAGAACAGGAAGGAACAGGAACAGGCAGCAGGCAAGAGAGCAGCCAAAGTATAGAGAGAGGGGCAGAGAGAGCTTAAGGGAGGCTACACAGAGGGGCAGAGAGTCAACAGTGTGTGCGCCACACCAAATGAATTCATTTCAATCTTTCAGCTCGAGTTGCAGTGGCACAAAGAATCCAATTAAAGTCAGAAATAGAGTCCCAGAGTCAAGGCCGCAGGCATCGGCAAAAGAAATTCTCAAATGCAATTGCAGAAGAGGTCAAAGAGTGTTGGCCAGTCAAGGAAGTGGACAAAAGTGGACAAAACTTGAGAGCTTGAGACATTCCAAGCCCAGACAAACACACACACAAGGAGAGCCAAAGGAGAGCCAAAAGCCCTGAGGCTGTAGCTAAG